TGTGACATTTGCATTTTCCCCGCCACAGCGCTTTCAAGTGGCTGTGGTTTGGCATATTAGGGATGATTACAGTGTTTGTGTCTCTGGACTGGAGGCTTCGAGATTTACACTCTTTACCTGTTGAACACCACGACTTCTCTGGAAGATTATTACCTTAAAACAACACATTCAAAGTCCCATCCATTGAGTTTATCCAAAATCAAAAGTCAAAAAAACGATTGGCTGATTCTAAAACACAAATTAATGGTATTCCTGTATTTCCACCAAATTTGGAGAGTTTGGATCAACACAAGGGCGAGTAAATGATGAAACTTCACAGCTACAGCTGGGGTTCATGACTCGGCGTTATAATTAAACTGACGGGGTTTGGTTTCTACTGAAAACAGTGCCAAATGTCCTCCAGAGAACATGCACATATGACCCCAAAATGCATCTGGTTTGCTTTTAATTAACGTTATTAAATCATTTTCTGGAGTCCATTAAGTCGCGGAGCGCATAATCGAGGCCAGATTTGGCGGCGGTCTGATTCAAAGAGTTTAATGAAGGAGTTGAAAGGAAAGGAAAAGTGCGAGTCAGCTACTTAAACCAGAGCACTAAAGTCAATGGAGAGAGAATTTTAAAAACCCTTTACTACAAGTTTTAAAACATTGCCCAGTTTATTAACACATTGTTAAACAATAATCAGAACAGAAAAGGCTAAATAATCTTAAAGGGATGGTTCACCCAAAAATGAAAATTCTGTCAGTACTCACTCTCGTATTGTTCAACCTCATAAGACCTTCGTTCATCTTCGGGACACAAATTAAGATATTTTTGGTGAAATCTGAGAGCTGGATTACTCCTCCACAGGCTTCTTCAGGGATTGAAACTTGTTCCCGAAAAGTTAAAGAGTGACTAAAGTGGCTGAATCTTAAGTTTATCAAGCGCCGAGAATACTTTTTGTGCGCAAAAACAAAAATAACGACTTTATTTCGAATAGTTGAAATAAAGTCGTTATTTTTGTTTTTGCGCACAAAAAGTATTCTCGGCACTTAATTAAGTTAAAATTGAGCCACTGTAGTCACTTGGACTATTTTAACGCTGTCTTTAATAACTTTAATAACCCAAAGATGAACGAAGGTCTTACGTCGTTGAACAACATGAGGGTGAGTAAATACTAACAGAATTTTCATTTTTGGGTGAACTATCTCTTTAAGAGGGTTGCAAAATGCAATAATCTCGCACAAATATCAAACTCACCAAACCAAATAAAACGAAACAAGGTCACTCATGGCTTTGAAATACCTCAAATCAATTAAAATTCTAGATTTCACTGAATTGAGAAATGCTGCCTCTTAATTTGGGGGAGCACGGGGTAAAACGTAACGAGGGGCTAGTTGTAACACACTTGTTTTAAATACTTACACACATGCTAGCATCACGAAACTTGGTGTATTTACTAGTCGCCATTTCAAGAGAAAAAAATTGCGCCAAAATTTGGAAATCTTTGTAAGATATCACTGAATATTTATTTAACCATACCAAAAGTACATTTCTTACTTAAGTTAATTTTTAATCTCTATTTTTTGTGTTTATTTAAAATTGGACAAATCTGATATTATTTTAATCTCTAATCTGTAGTTTAACAGGTGATATAGTTATTTAATGCTTCGCTAACGAAAAGAAGACACTAGCAGGGTTTAAACCCCAGTTCTGCAGATGGGGCATGTTGTTACACTTTTACAATGTGCCCCTATTAGAAATATGGTGTCATATTCTATACTTTTATGAATTCTATTGAGAAAACAAGAGAAACATTTAAATAAAGACTGAGAGTCAATGTTCAGAATTTATTGATATTTTGTTTAACTATGCTGTATAGCTGTGCTTGTTGTCAAACTATAAAAAAAGGCATTATTTGATATAAAAAAGTTAATAATTGTGTTTTATTAAGAAAATATTTTGGTTTGACTTGTAATTTGATTTTACATTGATTACTTTGATAGTTTTATGTTACAATGTACCCCACCTATGGGGCATGTTGTCACATTTCACTTCCATTCTTTCAGGGTAAAGCAAGAAAAAAAGTAAACACTGTATTAATAAAACAAAACCACATAATTGTACTAGACATGTGGTAAATAAATGTGGGGAAAAAATTCTCTGAACCCCAAGAAGATTTACACAAATTGACAAAGTCAAAAACTTGTTACGATGTGCCCCGTGTATTATAAATTGCCATTTTAGCTCGGACTTGCAACAAATTCATAAGTTGACACCGAAAACTTCCGAAATCTATTTCTAAGAACTTATAAATCACAAATAAAAACAAACAAATAAATTCTGTAAAACAATAAACAAAGACTTTAGTCTTTAACATTGCATAAAGGCATGAAACACGATTTCTTTCTGCAAACAAATTAGCGCTGAATAGATTCATTCTACTGAATCGATACATTCGGACGGTTCTTTTAAAATCCACGAAGACCAGCAAATAGTTAATACATAAATACTTGTTCCAGATCAGATGCGATTTTATGATTCATACATGCTAACCACTCCACAATTTTAATACAAGCTAAGCAACAATTCACGCTCAAATTCCGAATCGTTTCTCGTTTATAATTACAATGATTCGCGAATCAGAGTAAGTGTCCGAGCATGTCCAGAGTAAAGGCATGTCCGGACCTTCCCCATCACATTTCACACAGTTTCATTATTTAAACCTCTTATACACAATATATTGCCAGTTTTAAAATGTAAAAACTCCCTGCCTGCACATATTTCTAATACAAAATAGATATAGTTGACTAAAAAGAAAGAATCTATTGCAAAACTAACGAGTCACGCGTAAATTCATATGACACGACTTGCTTTTAATGAGCAATATATTTTCTACGCAGTTTCTCTTTTTTTGCATGTTTTAAAATATATATTACAACTTTAAAGTGAAAAGGTTGCACGAATGTGCAAGGCTCACCTTCCTGTCCAGTTGCACTGGTCGCTGGAGTATTGAGCACATCCACACAGGACTAGAGCTGACAGAAGAATGAATAAAAACATCCTCCAAAAGCCCAACTATCTGCTTCAGTCTGTAGAAAAACACAATCCTCCGCCGCTCTGGAGAGTTTAAGACACTACATGACCGAATCACGAGCAAACACCCGAGATGAGTTCCTGAAGCGAGTCTGAAGCTCACAGACAAGAGTCCAGTTGAAAGCTATCGCTCCGCCCACAAACACAAACCACGCCCCGTATGCAGAGCCACGAAAAATTAAAAAACTCTCAAAATTGTACATTTTACGTAGTTTTAGTGTTAGCACCATAGCATTTAAAAGCATTACCTTGCATTATCTCCCATTACCTTGAATATTACAGTGGTGTATTTTTTATTACATAACCTATCTTCTTGAAGTAGCTGAGCCTATCTGACCTTTTGGTGATAGCCTTACGATAAACTTTTACCTGACTTCCCCTTTGGGTCTAATATTATGACTAGCTTTTACCTGACTTCCCATTCTAGATCTAACAATATCACAAAATAAATCTTACTTCCTTTTTAGATCTAATAGCCTACTTCTGACATACTTTTGACACATGACCATGGACCAGAGCGTACTGTTTTGTGTCGTGTCTTTTACAATGTTTATTAGAAGATTTGAGGTATTTTTGCAGATATGTCACCCATCAAACTTATCAATTTAACCAATCATATTGATGTTAGTCATGCTATGCTATGTGTGTTTTTCCTGTGAAACCTATTGTAAAAAAAAAAAAAAAAAAAAAACACTTAAAGTATTCTTGTTCAGGTGAGATGCGAGTATTTGCGATTAAAAGCATTTGCTGAAGTCTGATTGTCATTGTGCGACTCTTGAGTCAGGACAGCCGTGATCTCGGACAGTCTGCTGAAACTCGTGGTATTTACATTGGCGCAACGTATGAAACGTATATTAAAGACTGATTCAGATTCATATGCATTAGGTAGGGCAGGTTCTTGTAATGGTGTGTGTGTGTGTGTGTGACTCATGCGCGTGTCTTGAGGAGGCTGTGGTTATTCTGGGCTCAATAAACACTGGTATCAGATGCTGCTGAGTCGCGCGCGGTTATTACGCTGCACGCGCCTCGTGTGTGTATGTGTGTGTGTATATATATATATGAAGAGTTCAGATGCAAAAGCCTCTAAGTGCCATTTGAAATTTTCTTCTAGAATGATCATTTTTATCAAGCTTGTATATTTAAGTTCAGTGATTTCACTTAAATGCCAATGATAATTACCTATTAATTGTTATTTAAGTGAAATTACTGAACTTAAACATACAAGTTTGATAAAAATCATCATTAAAGAAGAAAATTTCAAATGGCATTTAGAGGCTTTTGCATCTGAACTCTTCATATATATATATATATACACACACACACACACTTTTTTAGTTTTAACACTAATTGTGACTAAATATTATTATTAGAAACATAGTAATATATAACATTATGCATCCAAGTTGCCTTTCATTTGTTTTTCAATTTGCTAGAGTAAGACACATCATCGAGTAAATCAGTTGAAATATAATCTCAGGAGTTTCTATGCAGAGCCCTGTTTATTTGAGTGTGTGTGTGTTACAGATCAGATGTGTAATGCCTCGTGCTGAGCTCTGACCCTCACCTACACGCCATCCTAAACATTTACAGGCCATGACCTCTGACCCGATCACCCCCACTCTTTCTCTCTCTCTCACACACACACACACACACACACACACTCTCTCTCTCTCTCTCTCAAACACACACACACACACACACAGGAACGTGTCCGCTGACCTCAGATAATGTCCTAATGGAACATACATACACACACACACACACACACACACATTCCAGGCTCTCTCACACACAAGGCAAAATGAACGACTGTTGAGAGGAAAACAGATAAAACTAACCAGAGCTGTCAGACTGACATCCATTATTAACATTTGCTGTTGTCAGACAGTGATAAGCTAACACACACACACACACACACACTGAAATCATCAGAACATTTTTTTTTTATCAAAAAATACATCTTTAATATCAAGAGGATTTTAAATAAAACTGTGAAATACTGAAACAGTATTAAAAATAGTCTTAGTTAATTGAAATAAATATATATCAAAATGAAATAAAAAGAAACAACTCAACCATTATTTATAAACACGATTATATTATATTCACATTGCCTGTTTGTCGTTAACTGCATTATGCAACTCTTTCCTTCCACCTTTAATAATGTTTAACACACAAAAGAGTTTCAGCCACGGGCAAGAGGACCTGATTGAGAGCAGGTCCACGGGAAAAGGCTTTATCCAATTCACTCTGGAACGCTGGAGAAGTCCAGTGACGCGGGGCATCAGGAATGCACACACACACACACACACACACACACACCTGTGTGTGTTTGAGTCGAGGTGCGAGAGGGATGTGAGAGGTTTCTCAAGCAGGGAACTCTGGGAAGGAACACAGGAACCAGTTCCCAGATATTTTCCCCAAGATTGATCATCATCTCCATTAGCTCAGTGTGAAAATATTGATGTTTTCCAGCCTTTAACCCCAAATCATGTTGGCAATGTGCTAGAAAATGCCAGAAGCACAATGCTAGCAACATTAAAACTAGAAACATACTAGCATTGTGTGATATTATGCCAACTATGTGATTAAACATGCTAGCAATGTGTTTAGTTAAAACATGTAAGCATATGTATTATCAGCAAACATGCTGCAAAATACTAGCAATGTGTTAAAACATGCTAAAAACATACTAGCATTGCTAAATTATGCTAGTCATGTAATAAAACATGCTAGAAGCATGTCAAATCATGATACAAAATGGCTTAAACACTCTAGAAACTAACCAGTTTGTGTTTTAAAATATGCTAGAAATGTGTTTGAACATGCTAACAATGTGCTAAAACATGTTAGCATATATATTTTTTTATCAGCATCATGCTACAGCACACTAGCAATGTGTTAAAACATGCTAGAAACAGAGTAGCAGTATGCTAAAACTTGTTAGCGTATGTATTGACAACATGCGACAACACACTAGCAATGTGTTAAACATGCTAGTAACATACTAGCATTGTGTTCAATTATGTGTTTGAACATGATAAAAACATTCAAAATTACATTAGCAACATGTTAAACATGCTAACAATGTGCTAAAACATGTTAGCATACATATTATCAGCAACATGCTATAACATACTAGCATTGTTCAATTACGCTAGTAGGGTTTGGAACATGCCCGAAAGATGCAAAATCACATTAGCAATATGTTAAAACATGATAACAATGTGTTAAACACATAATATTAGCAACATTCTACAACATTATAGAAATGTTAAAATGTGCTAGAAACATACTAGCATCACCTTAAATAAGACTTGTCATGTGATAAAAAATGCTAGAAATGTGTATTTTGCTATGTACAATGTTGTTAGAACATGCTAACGTGCTAAATCATGATAGAAGCATAAAAGCTTTGTGCTTTATGCTAGGAATGTGCTAAAACATGTTAGCATAAGTATCATTAGCAACATGCTATAACATACTAGCAATGTGGTAAAACATGCTAGAAACACGACAAAAATATGTTAGCATTAACAACATGCTATTATAATCTTAAATCATGTAATTAATGTTGCCTGTTTTTCTTACCGTGTCTATTTAACCAATTAAACTTTAATTTAAAATATCGTAAATTTGGTCCTGACGCACGTCTCCAGTTTCACGCTGAGCTAGTGATGTTTTCAGCCTCTTTCTTCAAGCCGTACAGTGAAGTGTTTAGCATTCTCAGATCGTAAGACATTATTTAGTCCCGTCACTCGTCCGCAGGCTTGACTCTCCTTCATCTGGATCTCAGTCTTCAGCTGAAGTGGTAGTAATGGATTCCCTCGATCAGCTGCAGCGAACGCAGGTTTTCCTCCAGGACTCCGTGCGTCATATCCTACACACACACACACACACGAGGACAAACACACAGAACTTAATTTACTTAATTTATTTGTATAATTTATGTATTTGTGTTAAATTAGCTTAGCATCGTTAGCTTAGCATGCTAACATGATAATGTGGTAATTCTGTGGCATATAGAGCATCCATCACAGATTTGTTCAAAACTTTTGCGATATTTTCTAAATGTTGATTAAAAACTATCGCAAAATGACGGCGTTTCCATCAACCGATGATATGTGACTTAAGCGTATTTTTTTTCCTCTCGCGATCAGTCGGTTACGTATATCCCGTATTACGTATTTTAATTGCAGTTTTGCGAAACATTCCCTTTTCAAATCGCCTGAAAAACACCAAAATCAATTGTGCGCATTTACAATTTGCAGGGCGATGGAAACTGATGCCAGATCAGATCTGATGTAGATATGACCATAGATATGTATATAAAGGCTAGATGTGTTACCATCGTCATCACCGGCGGCCATCTTGTCACAGTCAAGCTGATGTAAGATGAGTGGCCAGCACGGACACAAATACTTTTATCTCGTTGAAATCTTGACGGATTTACAAACGGTTTGGTTTCTTACAAACGTTATTAACGTGGCTATAATTATCTGGATGATTTTTTATTTATACACTTTTTATTCATAAGTATGCTGTGTCATAACTACATCTCTGACGTTTATAACAAAACAAACCATTTGAAAATCGGTCAAGTTATGGTCATTTAAATAGTACATGTACCATTAACACAATGTTACGAGTGAGCGAGCTGACTGTGACAAGATGGCCGCCAGGTGCAGACGTCGACCTCCATTGGCCAGCAGCGTGGACGACATATCTAGCCTTTATATAGATATCTATGGATATGACGACACTAGAGTCTATACGACGCAGGAACAGCTGTGTGTGTGTGTGTGTGTGTGATAATATCTGATCCCGCTGGAGGTTCATTAGCATGAAAACACCGATGATGATTGAGATTGATACGAGCCTCACGGTCATTTGGACCAGAGTGTGTGTGTGTCATTTCCCGTGAGCTGCGAAAGTGTGTGTTTTCAGTCGAAGGTGACCCACACACTCTCTCTCTCACACACACACAAACTCACCAGCTTCACACACACGATAAACGGAGGCGATGCCTTTCTGAAGTGCAGGATGGGAATCTTGGGCTTCGGCCGTTCCTGAGAGAAACACAGAAAACAAGAGTGTGTGTGTGTGTGTTTTTTTAACACAGTCTCGCCAGTGTGTGTGTTTCTCAGTATTAAGCATCTGATCTGGACAGAAGAGCTGATGATTATCCTCTAGTGTGTGTGTGTGTAACGAGGCTAATGACTCCTGTCCAGCCATTAACACTGATGCATGACTAGCATTATATTTGCATAAGTCACGTTATTCTGCGTTCCCATGACGACGCTCCAGATCGTGAGCGGGAAAACTCCCTCGGCAAAAGGTCAGTCAAAGAACGGTTCGAAAATACACAATTATTCTCATCATCAAACATAACACACACTCTAATGACTCGTGTTACGCCTATATATTCCTGCATTCCTGATAATATAATCTATAGTAACCCTAAATGACATGACCGAGTTTAAAGTGTGTTAAATTACTGGGCTGATATTGGCTATTTAAGAATTTACAGTTCACACATCATCCCATATAATGTCCCATGACTCTTGTGGGAGAAACAATACTATATTATGATATTTCATAACCCTCTACAGGCGAAACTCGACAAATGAGAATATCCTGCAGAAGTGAGTGAGTCTGTCCTCCTCGAATCCATTCCAGGTCAAATATAAGACTATTAATATTAATATTCATATTGAGAGAGTACGGAGGGGTATTGCATTCACTTGAAGAAAAAAAATCTACTCTGTTTTTCTGAATTAATGAGTTAATTTTTCATGAGAAAAAAAATTTTTGCTCTGTTTTTCTGAATTAATGAGTTAATTTTTCATGAGAAAAAATTTTTTGCTCTGTTTTTCTGAATTAACGAGTTAATTTTTCATGAGAAAAAATTTTTTTGCTCAGTTTTTCTGAATTAATGAGTTAATTTTTCATGAGAAAAAAAGTTTTTGCTCTGTTTTTTCTGAATTAACTCGTTAATTCAGAAAAAAACAGAGCAAAAAAAAAATTCCATGAAAAATTAACTCGTTAATTCAGAAAAACAGAGCAAAAACTTTTTTTCTAATGAAAAATTAACTCGTTAATTCAGAAAAACAGAGCAAAAAAAAATCCATGAAAAATTAACTCGTTAATTCAGAAAAACAGAGCAAAAAAAAAATCCATGAAAAATTAACTCGTTAATTCAGAAAAACAGAGCAAAAAAAAAATAAATCCATGAAAAATTAACTCGTTAATTCAGAAAAACAGAGCAAAAAAAAATCCATGAAAAATTAACTCGTTAATTCAGAAAAACAGAGCAAAAAAAAAAATCCATGAAAAATTAACTTGTTAATTCAGAAAAACAGAGCAATTTTTTTCTCATGAAAAATTAACTCATTAATTCAGAAAAACAGAGCAAAAAAAAAAAATTCCATGAAAAATTAACTCATTAATTCAGAAAAACAGAGCAAAAAAAAATCCATGAAAAATTAACTTGTTAATTTAGAAAAACAGAGCAAATTTTTTTTCTCATGAAAAATTAACTCATTAATTCAGAAAAACAGAGCAAAAAAAAAATCCATGAAAAATTAACTTGTTAATTTAGAAAAACAGAGCAAATTTTTTTTCTCATGAAAAATTAACTCATTAATTCAGAAAAACAGAGCAAAAAAAAATCCATGAAAAATTAACTCGTTAATTCAGAAAAACAGAGCAAAAAAAAAATCCATGAAAAATTAACTCGTTAATTCAGAAAAACAGAGCAAATTTTTTTTCTCATGAAAAATTAACTCATTAATTCAGAAAAACAGAGTAGATTTTTTTTTCTTCAAGTGAATGCAATACGCCTCCGTAATAGAGAGTGTGTTTGTGTTTTTATTAAAGTTTTAGCATTTTTAGTTTGAATTTTGAGCATTTTTAGGTTTCCCATTCTTGGCTTTCCCTTCATTCCCACGGGGACCCAACTCCTCGAATCCGTTCCAGGTCCATTCTGACTATAAGACTATTAATATTAATATCCATTCTGAGTTTGAAGCGACTCTCACCTTCGACTCCTCGTACGTGTAAAAGCCCTTCTGAATTTTGTTTTCGTCCACGTCACAGAACGCTTTCACCTGCACACACACACACACATTCACTTTTAATCATCAAAGCAGCACAGGGATTTAGTGTTCAATAGTGTGTTGACGTCACTCTGTAGGCCAAGACGCGGAAGTGTGTTAGCATTAGCATTAGCACTCCCGGTTCCCTCGCTCTAAAGTCTATGGGATTTGTGAATGGCTTTTTGCTAAATGGCCTGAAATAAGATCTGTGGTGAACAAAGCAAAATCTATGACATAGAACACACAGTTATAACCTGCTTGTGTTTTTAAAAAACTTTATATAGGCTTCAAAATGTATACATTTTGGATTAACTTGTAAAGATTATCTTGCTTTGTTAAACACAGATCTTATTTTTTTGCGATTTTCCAAAAGTCTATGGGGAAAATGCATTGCTTTCTGATCGAGGAAACCCATGCGCCGCTAGCTTCCGAGTCGTCCGACAAAGTGACATCATCACTTCTGCACTGTTTTGTAATTATTTTTAAGTAATGTTATTATTTTTAAGTAAGGTAATGTCCTGATCAGTGTTGGGTAAGTTACTCTAAAATAGTAATTAATTACTAGTTACTAATTACCTCTTCAACAGTGTAATTAGTTACTCTCTCTAAAAAGTATTTAATTACTTTCAAAATCCCATATCAATCTCAACCAGCTGAATAATACAAGGATAGACATGAATCTGTTTTAATACTTTCAAATAAATACTATAAAATTGCATGAATTATCCTGAAACTGACCGAGGTGGAGATTATAAAAAAATACTTTTTAGCATCAGAAAATACATTTTGATGTGAAACCCACTATTGTTTTATGTCTGATCTCATGACATTTCACACTTTTGTCATACATATCTTACAATAATTCATACGAATTTGTACGAGTGCGATCGTACGATTTAGACGCCACATAAAATGCGTACGGATCGCTGTGAGTATTTACCTCAATTAAATCAGAAGTAACTGTAATTAAATTAAGAAAAATTAAGAGCATTCCCTTACTTTACATTTTCAAGGGAAAAGTAATTAAATTACAGTAACTAATTACTTAGTAATTAGTTACACCCAACACTGGTCCTGATATTACAGTCGTTCATAATAACTGCCGTGAGTATATATGAAGAGTTCAGATGCAAAAGCCTCTAAATGCCATTTGAAATTTTCTTCTTTAATGATGATTTTTATCAAACTTGTATATTTAAGTTCAGTAATTTCACTTAAATAACAATTAATAGGTAATTATCATTGGCATTTAAGTGAAATCACTGAACTTAAATATACAAGCTTGATAAAAATGATCATTCTAGAAGAAAATTTCAAATGGCACTTAGAGGCTTTTGCATCTGAACTCTTCATATACATATATATATATATATATATATATCACACATGCTAATAATGTTTACGCTAATCAGTCCTTCCAGAAAAACGCGGAGTTTTTTTTGTGATTGTTGCTGGCAAAAATTGATTGATTACGCGGCCCGTTTTCTTTAAAAATGCGATGGAATATGCGGGATATTTATGCAATTTTATGCCATGAAATTGCAGGAATTTGCAAAAATTGAGGGAACTTAAAAAAATTGCGGTTTGATGAAAAAGAGAAAAAAAGTGATTCCCCCAACATACTGTTAATGTAAGAGTCATTTCTTATTACTTCCTTTGATAAACAAGCATACTACATCATAGAAAGTGCTGGGAATATTTAATTTCTCATCTTGTTTTATTTCAGACTGTAGCGAGTGTAAATAAGGTGTGGCCCCTTTAAGAGCTGCGCGCTCCTGTTGAACTCTCTGCAGTGTTATATGTGCGCCTCGAACGCCCCATGTGTGCGGGTAATTTCTGTTTGATGATACTTCTTTTATCTTATGTTGTTTATTAAGTAACGACTCGTATAACTGTCTGTCAAGTAACTGTGACAGACAGTTATACGAGTTCGATTTGTGAGATGTCAATCGCCTCCGTGAGTCTGTCTGGCGTCGCGTAATTGCGTCACTTCATAACGTTCCCATGGAAACCGGGGGAAATGGCTGCTCTCGTGTGAAGCAAACGCAACATTTTTCAACTTTCTGCGAAGATACATGTGACTTTTTTTGCAACGAAAATGCGAGGATTATGAAATTATGCAAACCCCGCATATTTTGCACGGAAATCTGCAATTTATGCGGCGAAAGTGCGGCGTATTTGAAAAAATGCGGCCCCCGCATAAATATGCGGACTTTGGCTGATTTTGCATTGAATTCAGCGATCGCATAATCGCGTTTTTCTGGAGGGACTTTATACAAATCTATGACGTCCGGAATTCTGTTTATGTGTGTGTGTGTGTGTGTGTGTGTGTGTGTGTACCTTCTCCTGGTTGGCGCGGCTCAGGCAGCGGAAGAGTCTCCGGCCCTGTTTCCCAGCGCTCCACACAGTGAAGGAGTCCCAGCGGCTCAACACACACTCCTGCAGGAACCGCACGCGCTCGTCCCAGATACTGTGTCTGACACACACACACACACACACACATCACTGTCTCTGCGTACATCCCTCAGCTGGAGTAGCATAAACCCTTAATACACACACACACACACACACAGCGGTTTGACGTCCAGCTGTTGGACAGACGGTGTGAAAATGTGTGGAATTCCACACACACACATACACACACACACACACACAGAAAGACTCACTCCAGCACAGAGTGTGTGGCTGAGTGCGGATGATATCGATACACCAGCAAACACTCCTCCACTCGCAGCAACACCCCCCCGCAGCGAAGACTCTGGTAGAAGAAGAGCAGATCCTCGGGAACGCCCTGACAGAGAGAAAGTGTGTGTGTGAGTGAGAGTGACAGAGAGAGAGAGTGTGTGTGTGTGTGTGCGTTCACCTTTCCTCCCTCGTTGAAGGCACCGACGGTCTGGAACCAGCGGCGGGAGCAGAACCAGGTCGGCATGACGACCGTCGGCCCGTGAGACGTGAACGCCTTCGTTAGAAACAAACAACACGCACATTAAAATGACTCGTCAGTTTGCGAAGAGTGAGGTCATCCAATGTGATGACTAATCAATTCAATATACAGTCATGTGGAGAGTGTTTCTGGACCAATGGGATTTAAGTGTGGGCGGAGCTACAGCACATTATATAAAACACGAATGCTGACGTAGAGACGGCGTTTGAAACACACTCGGCACAACATGATAAAACTAAATATTCTTTGATGGAAATCGGTCGACTGGTCTCTATTCATCTCTAGGATAAAAATCACACACACACACACACACACACACACGCAGTCTTTCTGTTTGTAAATTATGCAGTGAGGAAAGAGGAATATTTCAATGATGACAAAATCTATGAAGGTGATTTGATGCCATAAAGAGTCGTGCAGGGTGAGGTTTGAGAAAGTGTGTGTCCGACTGCACACAGAGCAAAGGAACTGATGCTGAGATGTGTGTTAGTCAAGCAGAAAATCACATCACAAGGTACAAATATTCTTAATAAACCAGATGATCTCACTAATCCAGCCTCAAAGGTCACGTGTGTGTGTGTGTGTGAGTCTGTCCGTGCACAGAGACCAACACTGAGCTGGTCGAGTGTTTCGTAACGGCTCAGAGATGTTGCCCACTGGATGTGTGTGTGTGTGTGTTTCACTGGATAACCTCGCCTGGAATGCGCAAACACACCCAAGAGAAACACGACTCCCTTCTCAATGAACAAGAACATGCGGAGGAGAACATCAGAGCAGAAATCCGTCAGGAAAGAGTGGTCAAAACGGTGTGCGCCTGGTTGCTAGGGCGTTGCTATGCAGAACCTAAGGTGTTCTGGGTGTCTGTGTTTTTAGGCAGTTACTATGGATTAGAGAATGGTTGCTAGGCATTTGCTAGAATGTTGTGAGGGATCCCTATGGCGTTGCTAGGGTGTTACTAGGCATTTGCTAGAATGCTGTGAAAGGTCCCTAAGGTGTTGCTAGGGTGTTACTAGGCAGTTGCTAGAATGCTGTGAAAGGTCCCTAAGGTGTTGCTAGGGTGTTACTAGGCAGTTGCTAGAATGCTGTGAAAGGTCCCTAAGGTGTTGCTAGGGTGTTACTAGGCAGTTGCTAGAATGTTGTGAGAGATCCCTATGGCGTTGCTAGGGTGTTACTAGGCATTTTCTAGAATGCTGTGAGGGCTCCCTAAGGTGTTGCTAGGGTGTTACTAGGCAGTTGCTAGAATGCTGTGAAAGGTCCCTAAGGTGTTGCTAGGGTGTTACTAGGCAGTTGCTAGAATGTTGTGAGAGATCCCTATGGCGTTGCTAGGGTGTTACTAGGCATTTTCTAGAATGCTGTGAGGGCTCCCTAAGGTGTTGCTAGGGTGTTACTAGGCAGTTGCTAGAATGCTGTGAAAGGTCCCTAAGGTGTTGCTAGGGTGTTACTAGGCAGTTGCTAGAATGCTGTGAAAGGTCCCTAAGGTGTTGCTAGGGTGTTACTAGGCAGTTGCTAGAATGTTGTGAGAGATCCCTATGGCGTTGCTAGGGTGTTACTAGGCATTTGCTAGAATGCTGTGAGGGCTCCCTAGGGTGTTGCTAGGGTGTTACTAGCAGTTACTAGAATGTTGTGAAGGATCCCTGGGTGTTGCTAGGGTGTTACTATGCAGTTGTTAGAATATTTTGAGGGATCCCTATGGTGTTGCTAGGGTTTTACTAGGCGTTTGCTAGAATGTTGTGTGGGATCCCTAGGGTGTTGCTAGGCTATTACTATTCAGTTGCTAGAATGTAGTGAGGGATCCCTATGGTGTTGCTAGGGTGTTACTAGGCAGTTGCTAGAATGTTGTGTGGGATCCCTAGTGTGTTGCTAGGGTTTTACTAGACGTTTGCTAGAATGTTGTGAGGGGTCCCTAGGGTGTTGCTAGGCTATTACTATTCAGTTGCTAGAATGTAGTGAGGGATCCCTATGGTGTTGCTACGGTGTTACTAGGCAGTTGCTAGAATGTTGTGAGGGATCCCTATGGTGTTGCTACGGTGTTACTAGGCAGTTGCTAGAATGTTGTGAGGGGTCCCGAGGGTGTTGCTAGGGTGTTACTAAGGGCTAACTAGAATCTGAAGTTGCCTTAGAAAAACACCAGTCATAACTCTATCTCTCTCTCTCTGTGTGTGTTTGGATGATTTGGGCGACTGGAGCGTTCCACGCATCACACTGACCCCACGACCCTCGGGATCCGTTTCCCGCCAGCGTGTGTGGATGCTCTTCGCTCACAGTTTCCGTGGAAACATCAGTCTTCAGGTATACATCCTGTTTCTGTGGCGACCTACTGACCGCGTGGCACGCGACCCCTCAAAACACAACACGCCTCGTCTTTCCTGACACACACACACACACATCCTGCTTACACACACGCTGAGAGAGATCAAATGGGCTCATAAAAAGAGCAACTCGCACACACTTCAAATTCAGATCATCCCTCTTTTCTTCCTTAATAAAGTGACCTATAATCTAAAGAATAAAATCATCATCTTTCATTAATTTTAAGAATTGTCTCCACCAATGACTTTTCATTTTTGTGATGTCCATTAGTTCCTGTTACTATCCAACGCCTGCTACTTTAACCAGCTAGCATCTGTGTGCTACTTTTTTGTCACCTGTGTGAGTGTGTGTGTGTGTCACCTGTGTGAGTGTGTGTGTGTGTGTGTGTGTGTGTCACCTGTGTGTGGAGCTGCTCTGGACTCAGAGAGTTGATCCACCTGGTGTATCGCTCAGTGGAGCCTTCAGGAACTCGACTCACTTTACAACCAATGATCTGACAAAACACACAAGAGACATTAGTGTTTAACTTGATCATCTGACTATATGTAACATTTAATACAAGATATAAATGTTTCGTACGCATACAAGTGTGTTTAAGGTGAATCACAGGCAGACCATCACACTCACAACGCTTTCACCCGTCCGTCTCATTTCCTCTCTGACGTAAACACACACACACACACACAGTTCTGTTTCTCTGTTAGTTTAGCACCGCAGGTCTTCAGTCTGTCGCCGTTACGCCCGCTGTGACCTGAGGTCAAAGGTCAAAGCAACAAACAAAACCCTCGCAAAACACTGGCTGTAAAAATAACCGCTGCTGCATTTGGAAAATAACATTAAACTGTGTTTTTCCTGTCATGGAATAAGAATGTGGAACATATTTCAAATAAATGTGACATATTATTACAGTGTACAACATCTGTTTTCTATGTGGATTATTCCTGTGATTTCCAGCATCATTACTCCAGTCATCAGTGTCACATGATCCTTCAGAAATCACTCTAATATGAGGATCTGACGCTCACGAAACATTTATGATTATTATCAATGTTGAAATCCTGACAAAAAATATTAAACTGTCTTCAATATAATAACTGTCTTCAAAAATATTAAAATATTAAATAAAAAATAAAAAAATAAAAATATTAAAAAATCTTAAACTGTCTTCAATATAATAACTGCCTTCAAAAATATTAAAATATTAAATAAAAAAATAAAAATATTAAAAAATATTAAACTGTCTTCAATATAATAACTGTCTTCAAACAGTTTAATATTTTTTGTCAGGATTCTTTGATGAATATAAAGTTGTAAAGAACGGCATTGATCTGAAACTCACCGCAGTGGGATTGACTTCAGCCGCTTCATACTGTAGCCGAACTCTCTGAGGCCTCATGACATCATCCTGAAACACACACGACATCATCACGAAACACACAGACACCATCATGAAACAAAAAACGACATCATCGCGAAACACACACGACATCACGAAAAACCCGGCATCATCACGAAACACACACGACATCACAAAAAACCTGACGACATCATCAAGAAACACATGACATCATCACGAAACACACACAACATCATCACAGAACACAAACGATATCGCGAAACACACAACGTCATCATGAAACCATGAAACACATGACATCATCGCAAAACCCACGACATCATCACGAAACACACAACATCATCACGAAACCATGTAACACATGACATCATCACAAAACACACGACATCATCACGAAACACACATGACATCATCACAAAAAACCTGACATCATCACGAAACACGCATGACATCATCACAAAACACACGACATCACGACACACACAACATCATCGCGAAACACATGACATCATCACGAAACACACACGACATCACGAAAAACCCGACATCATCACAAAACACACACACAACATCATCGCGAAACACATTACATCATCACGAAAAACCCGACATCATCATGAAACACATGACATCATCACGAAACACACACGACATCACGAAAAACCCGACATCACGAAACAGACGACATCATCGTGAAACACATTACATCATCACGAAACACACATGACATCATCCTGAAACACACGACATCATCATGAAACACATGACATCATCACGAAACACACACGACATCACGAAAAACCCGACATCACGAAACACACAACATCATCACGAAACAATGTGAACACAATGTTTTATTGTTTTATGTTTTAATAATTCATCTGCGTTTCTGTGCTTTTCCCACTCATTAGCACGACTGTGAGCTGTAGACGAGCAGCTTGAACACGAGCGGAGTGTGTTCTGCGCTGTAATGCGGATCGGGAGAGGAGCGCTTCGCTCTCACGCTCTCTCTGTTGCGACACACACTTGGACTCCAGCGGCTCTGCAGGAGACTCACAGAAACATCAGCTTATGCATCTCACATCTGATCTGATTACACAACATCAGTGTGAGACACACACACACACACACACACACACGCTGAGACACAGGATATTACAACACACAACCCTATAGATCAGAGCTCCAGTTCATTATTCAAACCTGAACTGGCAGAGAAACAACACCAGTCAGTGGAAAAACAGACGTGTGTGTGTGTGTGTGTGTGTGTTTCACGCGCCGCAGGGGAGCTTTTACAGTCACACACACTGAATCTGAAGCATGTGTTTCTGAATATCATGATGCTGAGATCTTTCACACACACTGGAGGAGCTTATTTCACACACACACACACACACACACACACACGGTTCAGTCATTAGTTGAGTTCCTCTGACAGGCCTGTCAAACACACGGCTGCTGGGAGCGTATTTACATCACAGGTGGTACATGTTACACACACACACACACACTCACCGCGTCCTGAAAGCAGAGGAATCGTCCAGAGCTCCGACACACCGCCTGGTTTTTAGCAAATCCAACTACAAAAAAAAAAAATACACAAATATGACTTTAGTCTACTAGAGCATTTCATCTCGAAACAAACACAAATACAGAAAATAATGTTTTTCTTTCCCATTTCTGAGACTTTCTGTGCAGTATATTATTATCCACGCACTTGAAACAGTCACTGATCAGTGTTCAATCTCACTGTCAATCAAAATGACAATTGTCCTGCTGTCAACCCAAAAACACACACACACACACACACGTTACATTACTGAAGCTAATCCGGTTGAGACGGCCTGCGCTCCCTCAAACAGATCTCAGTGTGTGTTTGACGTGTTCATCTACAGGTGTGTGTGTGTGTGTGTGTGTGTGTGTGATGCTGAAAGCTTGGCATGCCGAACTCAGAGATGTTTTAAGATCCTGACACCAACTAAACACTGATAACAAACTTCTTTTGATTTCTGAAGCGCATGAACAGAGTGTGTGTGTCTGTTTAATGTCGCGTGAGCTTCAAGATAAACATGTAAATGTAGAGTCCTTGAGCTCTCCAGAAATAAGTACAGATACACACACGCTCTCATAAACACATATAAACACACACACACCTCCGCGTGGGCTGGATGCGGTGTGTCCTGAGATCAGCAGTGAAATGCCTCTGTCCTCGAACCTCTGCCTCCATCCCTCGATCACTTCTCTGGAGTTATCCTGACACACAAACCAGACTCAGGTCATGTTTACACAAAGAGAAACTAATATTTCCCCGCCTCCGTTTTCAATAATAACATTCGCATAAATACGCCGTCGAGCGCCGTAACTATGCCAAACCTATAGGGGGCAGTGTAGGGAGAAGGATAAAACCATGCAAGCCAATCAGAATCCACATGAGAGAACATAAAACCCCGTTTCTCCCAGTTGACATGACAACACATAACCGGAGTTTTTAGAAATAATCATTTTCCGTGATAAAAACGGGGTTTTCGTGTAAATGAGAGTCCAAACTCGCAGGGAAATATCTGCGTGTTCCCTTCGTGTAAACGGGGCCTCTGTTCAAACATATTCTTCAGACTGATACTCATATTGTGTGTGTGTGTGTGTACCGTACTGCCGTCGTCATACACAGACAGCTCCATACGGCCTGCAAAATCCTGCTCCAGTATTGCCTGCAGACACTCGTCCAGCCAATCAGAAGCGTTATACACGGGCATGATCACTGACTGAAACACACACACACACAGGCGATGTTTGTGTCATGTGTGTTATCTCCTCTTTAACTTTCTTGGACCATTCTTTTGACCTCAAACATGACACTCAGCAAACCCGTCGAGTTGAGGCGTTTCATGTGTTCTAGCTGAGGCGCACCTGGTGTTGCTCATGAAGCCCTTGATTAGTGACACAACACATCTTTTGCAGGGGGTTGGATCATTTTGAGACTGCAGGAGTCATTAAAAGTTGAATTTGGGGAAACCACTTGAAACTTTTGGTGAGCAGAGCTATTTAATTTGTGCTATGTAAACAGCTGAAAGTCTGTCAATTTTGCTAATAAACCAGATTTCGATTACAACTGCAATATAGAAAACAACAGCATATAATGGAACAAAATAGAGCACATCAGAATGAAACCCAATGGAACAGAATATGTATAGCATTTTATTTCAATACCAGAGGAATTGTTTTAATATTTCAGGGTTCCATAAATACTAACACACCGCTATTACAGTAAATTACGGAGGCGTATTGCATTCACTCGAAGAGAAAAAAAAAATCTACTCTGTTTTTCTGAATTAATGAGTTAATTTTTCATGAGAAAAAAAAATTGCTCTGTTTTTCTGAATTAATGAGTTAATTTTTCATGAGAAAAAAAATTTTTTCTCTGTTTTTCTGAATTAATGAGTTAATTTTTCATGAGAAAAAATTTTTTTTGCTCTGTTTTTCTGAATTAACGAGTTAATTTTTCATTAGATTTTTTTTTGCTCTGTTTTTCTGAATTAATGAGTTAATTTTTCATGAGAAAAAAAGTTTCTCTGTTTTTCTGAATTAATTAATTTTTCATGAGAAAATATTTTTTTCTCTGTTTTTCTGAATTAATGAGTTAATTTTTCATGAGAAAATATTTTTTTCTCTGTTTTTCTGAATTAATGAGTTAATTTTTCGTGAGAAAAAAAGTTTTTGCTCTGTTTTTTTCTAAATTAACTCGTTAATTCAGAAAAACAGAGCAAAAAAAAATTCCATGAAAAATTAACTCGTTAATTCAGAAAAACAGAGCAAAAAAAATCCATGAAAAATTAACTCATTAATTCAGAAAAACAGAGCAAAATATTTTTTTTCTCATGAAAAATTAACTCATTAATTCAGAAAAATAGAGCAAAAAAAAAATTCCATGAAAAATTAACTCGTTAATTCAGAAAAACAGAGCAAAAACTTTTTTCTCATGAAAAATTAACTCATTAATTCAGAAAAACAGAGCAAAAAAAAAATTCCATGAAAAATTAACTCGTTAATTCAGAAAAACAGAGCAAAAACTTTTTTCTCATGAAAAATTAACCCATTAATTCAGAAAAACAGAGCAAAAATTTTTTTCTCATGAAAAATTAACTCGTTAATTCAGAAAAACAGAGTAGATTTTTTTTTTCTTCAAGTGAATGCAATACGCCTCTGTAGTAAATGACATTGCTTGATATTTGTGTATTTGTCACTGATGTTGATATTTTGCTGGCTACTGTGATATTTTTTTTTTTTTTTACTGTGATATGTTATGATGAAGTGATTCGAGACTCACCACTGCAACACTGTCGCCCTCTGCTGGTTCACAGCGCTGACGTGACTCTGTCCGCGTGCACGGTCGCTTTGCCTCGTGCTCGGACCCTCCACTGGACTCCTGTGTGCCGCTCATCTCTCTCAAACACACACGAGTATCTGTGCTCACAATGTTGATCTCCAAGCTGAGCTCATTCCGCTCTCGCAGTATTTAATCCCCGTAATAGGCGCTGTTTTGGTTCTCCTCTCTCTCGTGCGTGTGCGTTGATGAGCGCATGCGCACAGATCACTTCCGCGTCAGGGCGGGAGTAGCGAGATAATTCGCCGAGGGAAAACGCGGACGGGCATTTGATTAGACTGAACCCCTGTCACTCAGCGATCGCAGCTGTGATTGGATGAAGGGGGTTAGTACCACACGTGACCATCTCGACAAGTCATCAAAAGTACATAAAAAATAATAAAATACAAATTTACCCGAATGAAAACATACACGACCTAATAAAACTATATAACTAGTACAATTAAATGTTAAGTAAAATAATAAATAAATAGTATTAATACAAAAAAGAGAACCATTTTTTTTTTTGCCGCAATAATCATATGCAGGAGCTGCTGACGTGTGTATTCCTGCATCTGTCGTCACCTGCTCACTACACAACTTCTCCGTTTACAATCTCCCTCTGAGGGAGTGGCATTCACACACACACACACACAAACACACACACAGAGAGAGAGAGAGAGAGAGAGAGAACTTGAGGTCATACACTGATGTCTGTGCCCTACAGACAGAGAAAGATCTCAATCAACCACATTCTTATCATGCCTGTCCACACACACACACACTGCCTCTCTCTCTGCGTGTACCTTTAATACAGCTATATATGCATTTCTACTTCGTAAAATCACGTTCAATTCAACGTGTTTCTTGTCAATTCTTTGGTTGCGAAATTCACAAGCAAAATCTGTGTGAAAAACCCCGAGTGTTTTCCGAGTAGCTGTAGGCGCGAGTGTTGGCGTATCCTCGGGGCTCCTCAAGCCCCGCCTCCTAGACAAGTGACCCCGCGCGACGGGTTGAGCCGGTCTGTGTGTGTGAGAGAGAAAGAGTGAAACGGACAGACGTTCACACACCCCGAACAAACACCTGTTACAAGACACGAGCGACTGCTGCAGGACAAGTGCGAGGTAAGAACAAAATCAGACATTTATCAGTCAAGCTAATTAAACAAATGAGTTAGAAACTTTTTTTTTTTTTATTAGCAGTGTGATAAAGCACCAAATATTAAAATAAATGAAACAGAACTGAGCAACATTTAACCGTTACAATAAGAGGAGTTGTGTACGAAATCAATTAACTAATACATCGATGTCAAAAGAAATAAAAAAGAATAAACAAACAAAATGACATTAGTCTATAATATCATATATTATCGTGGTAAGCAGGCTAAATTATATATTGGTGTAAATCAGGTTTACTACGGTAAGTCCTTCTCAATCACGTAAGCGTAACATCCTAACTTTGTTTCTAATACGAAATGAACCATATCAATCTCATAAATACATGCTATTTTTAGTTGTTTTTATTAATGTTTTTTTAATTATACATTTCAAACTTGTAGCTAGCTTAATGTGTAGGACATTTTGATTAGCTAATAATAAAATGTGTTTACATGGAATATAGTGGAATGGCTCAAATAAACAAAATGACAAAGTTGTGGACATCGTTTCATGATTATCCTGTAATATTAGTCTATCATGATTTTACCGTGCTAAATACTTGATATTTTGGTGTAAATTAGGTTTACCACGGTAATTCATCCTACATTTAAGCAGAAGTGTGTAGATAGAAGAGGGATTATCTGAAAAGGACTCGCACAACCAGCGAAACCTGCAGGACGACATGTTGCGACAGACAGACAGGACCGAAGAGGAGGTTTTTTGCACATAACGTATGGTTTCAAAGAGGAAACAGTAGGAAGATAAGACTGAAGAGTAAAATAAAGTGTGCAGTGACTGAAGCTCATGCAAACTAGCATAGCTTGCTTCACACGAGACGCACTCGTTCGCCTCAGGCTAGCATTTCATGCTAACAGCCGGACAACATTAAAGACAGGACAGCTTGTATTCAAAGCCGATAAAGCACATCAGGTGATGTTTTCTGGCAGAATTAAAGGCAGGATTGTGAGATATTAAACATGCTAGTCAGAAATGACTTTTTATCTGTGGCAGAAAGAAACTTTCAATCAATTTTGTTTTCATAGATTTTTTTTTTAACGAATGTGTTAAAGCGACCTGAATTGTGTAACCTAAAATTAAAAAAAAAAAAAAAATAATATATATATATATATATATATATATATATATATATATATTTTTAATAAAAAAAAACAAATATATATATATATATATATTTTTATTTTATATTAAAAAAAAAAACAATATCACCGTTTTAAAAAAAAAAAACCTATAAAAAGTGCAATATAAATAAATGTGACTTGACTAATTCATCTAAAAATAAGTTCAGTCATTTACTGAATCTATTCAGCCGGTCTCCCGTTCTGGCAGTAGCACTTTTAGCATAGCTTAGCATACATCATTGAAGTGCACTAGGCCATTAGCATTTCTAAGAAAAAAAATGACCAAAGTGTTTTTATATTTTTCCTATTTAAAGCTTGACTCTTCTGTTACATCGTGCATTAAAACCGACGAATTGCGATTTTCTAGGCTGATATGACTAGAAACTATACTCTCATTCCTGCATAATAACAGAGACAATTTATATTTATATACCATTTACTATATTTAGAGATATATATTTACAGATATGATCAAGCTGAAAGCAACAAGCAATCGTTATTAAAGTTCAAAAGGGCAAACAGTTAAAGTTATTACGCGAGTTAACTCGAGAATGTGCAAGGTTGCATTTGTCATCCATCACCGTGACCTCAAGTGGACTTTTAAAGCTGAAATAATGAGTGGATTAAGCTTGGAAAAATTAGAGAAATAACATGCCTAGAACTTTCTTGTCGGTGGATTGTAATGCATCAGTCAGGTAACGTTACAAGGAAGTGAGACAATGACAACTAAAATTAGGTAAGACAAAAAGTTTTATTTTTCGAAACTCGTGTCGGGTCCAGTCGGGTTTGTCTCTTCCTGTCGGGTTCAGTTTTCAAATAATAGACGGGTCCAGGTCGGGTCCGGGCAGTACATTTATGCCATTTCTCGGGTCTGCACGGGTCCAACTTTTGAAATGAACGACGGGTCCGGGTCAGATTAAATGTGGATAATCTAAGCCAATGAGTAAGAGTGGTTGAGCCTTGTAGATATCTGTATTTCTTCTGCAGCAACTTAACAGGTTAAGTGTGTTTTGCAAGGCTCAGTTCTTTGGCTGTAAAAGCTCTTTCAATGGTGAAGGATTTGTTTGGCTGAAATGCAGAAGCTACTGAGAATGAAATGTCTCTTTTCACATTTGACTTCAAGACAACATTGTGAGATCTGGTGGTCACGGCCACACCTAAAGCACTTCTGATTTGACTTCAGCCAAGACTCCACTTGATCTTGATTCAGCAGTTTGAAATTAGCGCACTGATTGAAGTAATGCTGCAGTGTTGCAGAAGGGGCAGTACTTTGTCGGTTTCTCCTTCTTGACTGCTGTAACACTTGCTGGTTTACTCTGTTCACCACCATCCAAGACAGTAGCAAATCGTTGAACCGGCTTGCAATTCCTTTGCTGTTCTCTCTGTGGCTGAGAGTAGGCTCTGCTTACATTACGAACGTTCTGTGACTCATCCTCTTGTATTCTGAGCTCATATTCAAGTTCTATCAGTGTTGGAACTGGGTTCTGAATGGGGTTAACAAACCTTCTGAAGTTTGCTTTAAGATCATGAGAAAACTTGACAAGGAGATGTGAAACATGTGACCCACATTTGAGCTCTGTCCATCCTTTAGCTCCAAGTTGGTCCAGCATTCCAACTCATGCACGCACATTGAGGACAAACATTCTAAAAGTGTCACCACTCCTGATTTTTGGGCCATCCATCAATTCTGCAATTCTTTGTAGTGCGAGTTGATGGGGTTGACCATAAAGTGCAGTTAGAGACCTCATGGTGTTGGTGTATGGGTACCAGCTGTTGACGTACAAGTCTGCAATGAGCAAGGCATCCTCCTGTTTCAGATGATCGAGTATTTGGTGCTTGCACTGGAGAATTTGCTACAGAACGTTTCAATTTTGAGTCGTGCAAACTCTCTGGGATCTTCACTGCAAAAATGAGGAATGGTGGGAATAGGACCTCTGTAGGTGGGCTCTACATGAGGATATGGAAGAGAAGGAGGGCGCACTGGGTGGTATGGCTGATATGTCTCAGGCTGAGCGTAATCTGCGTACTGTCGTGGGGTCAAGAAGCTTGATTTGTCTGTAGGATTAGGAGCTGATTGACCATAGCTGTCTGAGTGTCTCATGTGCATGGTGAGCTAATGTATCTTTTAGAGTAAGTCTGTCATCTTGATAGACTGGACTTGTAGCTGGAATCCCATGATAAGGTTGCTGATAACCGCATGGTTCAGTGGAAGGGAAATAGCGCACGGTTTTGCAGTTCAGACTATGATCTTTATAAGTCCCATACATAGCTGCTGTCTCTTGACTGTAGTCCTGAGGCATAAACTGAACAGCTGCGGGATATTGGTTAAGATGTTGAATCAGAAGCAGAGATGTTCACAAGTCATGTTTTTTTGGAAGTCCAAGTCAAGTCTCAAGTCTTTGAGGGGCAAGCTCAAGTCAAGTCTCAAGTCTTTTGCCACAAGTCCAAGTCAAGATCTTTTGTCAGTGGACCTATAGTTACAGCCATGCCTCTGTGGTCTGTGTTGTAGTAACCATGTGGTCCATCTCTGTGCCTAATACCAGGTTGAGGACATGTAGCATCTTCTTGATGGGCTAGCTTGTGTTGGGATTGAGTTGGTTCATAAGAGAAAGGATGACTTGAAGTTAGCAGAGTTGCCGAGCCTGGTAGTCTCAGGTCTCCTAGGTTGTCAGTGAGACAATCAATCTCTTTGTGACAGAATGAGAATGCAGAAGGTCACCTCGTGAATCTACAGACAGTGCCCTCATGGGCTGAGGAGAATCATCTTGATCTCTAGGCAGAACTGGCCTGCCCTCAGTGGGTGCCGTATATGGACTTGAGGAGAGAACTCTCTAATCTGCATTATTCACCTTGGAGAAGTCCGAGTATGGGGCATTGGCCGCGGCGGTGACAAATCTTGATGTGTCTCCACATACGAACTCCTCTCACTTGATCCAGTGCTTGTACTTTTCGTTAGTTCTGGTCCGCTTTCAATACATGTGAACTCTTTAAATGCAGGCCTTTTACCAGGTTTTCCAGTGGCACCAGTTGTAGGATGTTCATCAGAATGTAGTAACTGATGTGGCACTGTGTAATCAACATAGAGGTCATCCAAGTATCTTGGTGGGATGACCTGTCGACGTGGTCGAACCACTGGTGGCACTGACGTAGCCTGTCTTTCTGTTCTAGACATGGTAATGCTGTAGTAGCTGTCTGCTCCGGCTCGAAGGACCAAATTTTGTATGAAAGTTGTTGAGGTGCGGATCTTGAACTGGGTGACAACCGCTACAGATTGTTCCACAATAAAGGTTTTTTTTACTCTTGTCTTTCGATTCATAAATCAGTATGGGTGTGGTTCTATCCAAGTCGTCCTCAGACCAGCCTTCCATCATTGCCTCCAGGCATCCTGATTCTCCATGCATCCGGCCAGTTCGTTGGTGCTCTGGGCTCTATAAATGAACAATAATGAATATAAATACAATGAATCAGAAACAGTAATAACTGAACAATATAAAAGTAATGCAATGGCATGAAGATAGACATATTATTTCCTGAGGTTTTTTTACACATTCACTTTAAATTAACTATCAGATGAAACCAAATTGAATATTTCCACATAATCAAAAGGTAATATTTAAAGTCTAATTCAGCGTGTTTTATGCTGAAATGAAGAATGTACGATCAAGCTTACATGTGCTCCCCTCCAAGAGATATACAGATTTCTTTGTAATGCACACCATTGCAGATTTTGACACCATTACATCTGTGAGAGAAAGTCCAAACAAACAGTGAAGAATATCAACTTTGTTGCTAAAAGTGGATGTCTTGTAAAGATGATGGAGTATATGGTTCAGATCAGCGAATAGCTCACCTGTTCCCTCCTCAGTAACATTTACAAGAAATGTGTCTTGCATTTGGTCTTCAAATTTGGTTTTTAAAAACACTGACACATCAACAGTAAGAGAGGCACAGCCCGTGGTATTCATCTGGTAGGAGAACAAAGACACAATTAAGTCAAGCACAGGCAAAAGCAAAACCCTCAGCCGTAAGGCAGGAGTCACACACCTTTGCTGTTTGAGTCAGACACTGTCTGATCAAATTATGAAGCAGACTGTATGGAAATGGATCACGGCACACTTCCACTAAGGCTTGACCAGGTACAGATTGGCCATATGTACATCTGGGAAACATCATAACAAGATAAAGAACTGACCAACCACAAGACAAGAAAATAAAGCATCACTCACTTGGCACAAGACTCAACTTTCAGTCCCATAACTGCAACGCTGTAGGTCTGCGGTGCGTATACGGTCACGTCAAACTTGGGCAAAACTAAACCAGAAACAAAGTGCTTTAGATTAAGGCCTCAGATTTGTCATTGAACTTCCCTTACACAACAACTTACCGAATTTTTTCCACCTCAAACTCGGGAGACTAGTGTTGGGACTCTTCACTCCATGGCTACTCCATTCTGCGGCGCCTAGGTCTTTGTGACGGACGGACGGACGGACGCACGGACGGACGCACGGACGGACGGACGCACGCACGCGGACGCACGCACGGACGGACGGACGCACGCACGGACGGACGGACGCACGGACGGACGGACGCACGCACGGACGGACGCACGGACGGACGGACGCACGCACGCACGGACGGACGGACAAACTGACAAAAATTCAGGCCCTTGTACTTCAGACACTGGGGTAAACTGAAGTAGTATTCTAATCAGAAGTGCCACACACTGAAATATTCAGATTAAAAGCCCAAACAAAAAACCTGATTGAGGCACACAGACAGCCTCTCAGCTCTCAGACGTCTTCCTGGCTCCATGATCCGGACGCTCTGATCTACCACGCAGAGATCCTGCTTGAGCAGAAACAGTCAAAACGTTTCCCTCCGCAGGAACCGCCGTAGCTGGAGAAAACTGCAGAGACACCTGGAACAAGGACCAACAAGCTGTAGGACACACACACACCAACATTCCCAAATTGAAAAATAGCCACATCATACAGTACCTGGTTCTGGAAATACATAGTGTCAAACGGCACACTAGCAGCAACTGCATTCTCACTGGGAAGAACGCTGTGGACCAGAATCTGCAATGCTGGAGCCATAATCAACGCTGACAGACAACTGGAACGTCACAGAGCCACTTGTGACTGCATCACCAGCCTTTGCTTTAACCGTCTGAAATCCATGGAGGATGATCACTCCTTTGGATAAGACCTGACAGAAGACATAGGTGTGCAAGTTGTGGAACAAACAGACCAGCAAACTTAACTACAAAACTAATGTCCACTCACCATATAGATTGTCAGCGCTGTAGCTACCAGCCTCTCCAACAAATGAATACGCCACGGTCACTGGAAACAAAGCACCACATTTGAGCTGCTGATTGAGCTTCATTATAGTTAGGAGAAACAGGTAGGAGAAGCTGAACAAACCTTGTATCTGTAGTGAAGTATGGCGATTTAGAACCATAAAAAACCTCTGGATTAGCACTCGCCTGGGGAAGATCAAACTTAATCAGTATCATGCTAGAAAAAGTCTTAATTTTTACAAAATACAAGTCATACCACCAGATTCAGATCAGCCTTAAGATCAGCAGTGTTTAGGGAGAACGCAGCCCGTCCATTCTTGTTTGTGGTTAGATTCAACAGCAGTTTCTTGGGCCAGTTGCTCCCCTCCAAGAGATATACAGCTTTGTTTATAAAGGACACCATTGCAGATTGACACCATTACATCTGCGAGAGAAAGTCCAAACAAACAGTGAAAAATATCAACTGGCTTAAAATGCATGTCTTATAAAGATGATAAAGAGTATATGGTTCAGATCAGCCAATAGCTCACCTGTTCCCTCCTCAGTACGTTCACATTTACAAGAAATGTGTCTTGCATTTGGTCTTCAAATTTGGTGTTGAAAAACACTGACGCATCAACAGTAATAGAGGCACAGCCCGTAGCATTCATCTGGTAGGAGAACAAAGACACAATTAAGTCAAGCACAGGCAAAAGGCTAAAAAAAAATAAAGAACTGACCAACCACAAGACAAGAAAAATAAAGCATCACTCACTTGGCACAAGACTCAACTTTCAGTCCCATAACTGCAACGCTGTAGGTCTGCAGTGCGTTTACAGTCACATCAAACTTGGGCAAAACTAAACCAGAAACAAAGTGCTTTAGATTAAGGCCTCAGATCTGTCATTGAACTTCCCTCACACAACAACTTACCGTATTTTTTCCAACTCAAAAAACTTGGGAGACTAGTGTTGGGACTCTTCACTCCATGGCTACTCCATTCTACGGTGCCTGGGTCTTTGTGAAGGATCGGATGGACAAACGCACGCACGGAAAAAAACGCACGCACAAACGCACGCACGGACGGACGCCCGTCTTTCCGGCCGTCATATTAAAAGATCACAACACAAGACTACATTTTTCCATTTTAGCTTTAAGCCACGTACCAATTTCTAGAGCAAAAATCAAACTAACAGACATACCGACACTGAAGTTGTGATAAAACTTCTGTCTGTACTTCAGACACTGGGATAAACTAAAGTGGCATTCTAATCAGAAGTGCCACACACTGAAATATCCAGATTAAAAGCCCAAACAAAAAACCTGATTGAGGCACACAGACAGCCTCTCAGCACTCAGATGTCTTCCTGGCTCCATGATCCGGATGCTCTGATCTACCACGCAGAGATCCTGCTTGAGCAGAAACCGTCAGAACATTTCCCTCCACAGGAACCGCCGTAGCTGGAGAAAACTGCAGAGACACCTGGAACAAGGACCAACAAGCTGTAGGACACACACACCAACATTCCCAAATTGAAAAATAGCCACATCATACAGTACCTGGTTCTGGAAATACATATCAGTGTCAAACGGCACACTAGCAGCAACTACATTCTCACTGGGAAGAACGCTGTAGACCAGAATCTGCACTGCTGGAGCCATAATCAACGCTGACAGACAACTGGAACGTCACACAGCCACTTGTGACTGCATCACCAGCCTTTGCTTTAACCGTCTGAAATCCATGGAGGATGATCACTCCTTTGGATAAGACCTGACAGAAGACATAGGTGTGCAAGTTGTGGAACAAACAGACCAGCAAACTTAACTACAAAACTAATGTCCACTCACCATATAGATTGTCAGCGCTGTAGCTACCAGCCTCTCCAACAAATGAATACGCCACGGTCACTGGAAACAAAGCACCACATTTGAGCTGCTGATTGAGCTTCATTATAGTTAGGAGAAACAGGTAGGAGAAGCTGAACAAACCTTGTATCTGTAGTGAAGTATGGCGATTTAGAACCATAAAAAACCTCTGGATTAGCACTCGCCTGGGGAAGATCAAACTTAATCAGTATCATGCTAGAGAAAGTCTTAATTTTTACAAAATACAAGTCGTACCACCAGATTCAGATCAGCCTTAAGATCAGCAGTGTTTAGGGAGAACGCAGCCCATCCATTCTTGTTTGTAGTTAGATTCAACAGCAGTTTGTTGGGCCAGTTGCTCCCCTCCAAGAGATATACAGCTTTGTTTATAAAGGACTCCATTGCAGATTGACACCATTACATCTGCAAGAGAAAGTCCAAACAAACAGTGAAAAATATCAACTTTGTGGCTTAAAGTGCATGTCTTCTAAAGATGATAAAGAGTATATGGTTCAGATCAGCCAATAGCTCACCTGTTCCCTCCTCAGTAACATTTACAAGAAATGTGTCTTGCATTTGGTCTTCAAATTTGGTGTTGAAAAACACTGACGCATCAACAGTAATAGAGGCACAGCCCGTGGCATTCATCTGGTAGGAGAACAAAGACACAATTAAGTCAAGCACAGGCAAAAGGCTAAAAAAAAAATAAAGAACTGACCAACCACAAGACAAGAAAAATAAAGCATCACTCACTTGGCACAAGACTCAACTTTCAGTCCCATAACTGCAACGCTGTAGGTCTGCAGTGCGTTTACAGTCACATCAAACTTGGGCAAAACTAAACCAGAAACAAAGTGCTTTAGATTAAGGCCTCAGATCTGTCATTGAACTTCCCTCACACAACAACTTACCGTATTTTTTCCACCTCAAAAACTTGGGAGACTAGTGTTGGGACTCTTCACTCCATGGCTACTCCATTCTGCGGTGCCTGGGTCTTTGTGAAGGATCGGACGGACAAACGCACGCACGGAAAAAAACGCACGCACAAACGCACGCACGGACGGACGGACGGACGCCCGTCCTTCATATTAAAAGATCACAACACAAGACTACATTTTTCCATTTTAGCTTTAAGCCACGTACCAATTTCTAGAGCAAAAATCAAACTAACAGACATACCTACACTGAAGTTGTGATAAAACTTCTGTCTGTACTTCAGACACTGGGATAAACTGAAGTGGCATTCTAATCAGAAGTGCCACACACTGAAATATCCAGATTAAAAGCCCAAACAAAAAACCTGATTGAGGCACACAGACAGCCTCTCAGCACTCAGATGTCTTCCTGGCTCCATGATCCGGATGCTCTGATCTACCACGCAGAGATCCTGCTTGAGCAGAAACCGTCAGAACGTTTCCCTCCGCAGGAACCGCCGTAGCTGGAGAAAACTGCAGAGACACCTGGAACAAGGACCAACAAGCTGTAGGACACACACACCAACATTCCCAAATTGAAAAATAGCCACATCATACAGTACCTGGTTCTGGAAATACATTTCAGTCCCAAACGGCACACTAGCAGCAACTACATTCTCACTGGGAAGAACGCTGTAGACCAGAATCTGCACTGCTGGAGCCATAATCAACGCTGACAGACAACTGGAACGTCACAGAGCCACTTGTGACTGCATCACCAGCCTTTGCTTTAACCGTCTGAAATCCATGGAGGATGATCACTCCTTTGGATAAGACCTGACAGAAGACATAGGTGTGCAAGTTGTGGAACAAACAGACCAGCAAACTTAACTACAAAACTAATGTCCACTCACCATATAGATTGTCAGCGCTGTAGCTACCAGCCTCTCCAACAAATGAATACGCCACGGTCACTGGAAACAAAGCACCACATTTGAGCTGCTGATTGAGCTTCATTATAGTTAGGAGAAACAGGTAGGAGAAGCTGAACAAACCTTGTATCTGTAGTGAAGTATGGCGATTTAGAACCATAAAAAACCTCTGGATTAGCACTCGCCTGGGGAAGATCAAACTTAATCAGTATCATGCTAGAGAAAGTCTTAATTTTTACAAAATACAAGTCGTACCACCAGATTCAGATCAGCCTTAAGATCAGCAGTGTTTAGGGAGAACGCAGCCCGTCCATTCTTGTTTGTGGTTAGATTCAACAGCAGTTTGTTGGGCCAGTTGCTCCCCTCCAAGAGATATACAGCTTTGTTTATAAAGGACACCATTGCAGATTTTGACACCATTACATCTGCAAGAGAAAGTCCAAACAAACAGTGAAGAATATCAACTTTGTGGCTGAAAGTGGATGTCTTGTAAAGATGATAAAGAGTATATGGTTGGGATCAGCCAATAGCTCACCTGTTCCCTCCTCAGTAACGTTCACATTTACAAGAAATGCGTCTTGCATTTGGTCTTCAAATTTGGTGTTGAAAAACACTGACGCATCAACAGCAATAGAGGCACAGCCCGTAGCATTCATCTGGTAGGAGAACAAAGACACAATTAAGTCAAGCACAGGCAAAAGGATAAAAAAAATAAAGAACTGACCAACCACAAGACAAGAAAAATAAAGCATCACTAACTTGGCACAAGACTCAACTTTCAGTCCCATAACTGCAACACGTTTACAGTCACGTCAAACTTGGGCAAAACTAAACCAGAAACAAAGCGCTTTAGATTAAGGACTCAGATCTGTCATTGAACTTCCCTCACACAACAACTTACCATATTTTTTCCACCTCAAAAACTTGGGAGACTAGTGTTGGGACTCTTCACTCCATGGCTACTCCATTCTGCGGTGCCTGGGTCTTTGTGAAGGATCGGACGGACAAACGCACGCACGGAAAAAACGCACGCAAAAACGCACGGACGGACGGACGTCCGTCTTTCCGGCCGTCATATTAAAAGATCACAACACAAGACTACATTTTTCCATTTTATCTTTAAGCCATGTACCAATTTCTAGAGCAAAAATCAAACTAACAGACATACCTACACTGAAGTTGTGATAAAACTTCTGTCTGTACTTCAGACACTGGGATAAACTGAAGTGGCATTCTAATCAGAAGTGCCACACACTGAAATATCCAGATTAAAAGCCCAAACAAAAAACCTGATTGAGGCACACAGACAGCCTCTCAGCACTCAGACGTCTTCCTGGCTCCATGATCCGGATGCTCTGATCTACCACGCAGAGATCCTGCTTGAGCAGAAACCGTCAGAACATTTCCCTCCACAGGAACCGCCGTAGCCGGAGAAAACTGCAGAGACACCTGGAACAAGGACCAACAAGCTGTAGGACACACACACCAACATTCCCAAATTGAAAAATAGCCACATCATACAGTACCTGGTTCTGGAAATACATATCAGTGTCAAACGGCACACTAGCAGCAACTACATTCTCACTGGGAAGAACGCTGTAGACCAGAATCTGCACTGCTGGAGCCATAATCAACGCTGACAGACAACTGGAACATCACAGAGCCACTTGTGACTGCATCACCAGCCTTTGCTTTAACCGTCTGAAATCCATGGAGGATGATCACTCCTTTGGATAAGACCTGACAGAAGACATAGGTGTGCAAGTTGTGGAACAAACAGACCAGCAAACTTAACTACAAAACTAATGTCCACTCACCATATAGATTGTCAGCGCTGTAGCTACCAGCCTCTCCAACAAATGAATACGCCACGGTCACTGGAAACAAAGCACCACATTTGAGCTGCTGATTGAGCTTCATTATAGTTAGGAGAAACAGGTAGGAGAAGCTGAACAAACCTTGTATCTGTAGTGAAGTATGGCGATATACAACCATAAAAAACAACAACAACAAAAAAAAAACACTGGATTAGCACTCGCTTGGGGAAGATCAAACTTAATCAGTGTCATGCTAGAAAAAGTCTTAATTTTTACAAAATACAAGTCGTACCAGCAGATTCAGATCAGCCTTAAGATTAGCAGTGTTTAGGGAGAACGCAGCCCGTCCATTCTTGTTTGTAGTTAGATTCAACAGCAGTTTGTTGGGCCAGTTGCTCCCCTCCAAGAGATATACAGCTTTGTTTATAAAGGACTCCATTGCAGACTTTGACACCATTACATCTGCGAGAGAAAGTCCGAACAAACAGTGAAGAATATCAACTTTGTGGCTTAAAGTGGATGTCTTGTAAAGATGATAGAGTATATGGTTGGGATCAGCCAATAGCTCACCTGTTCCCTCCTCAGTAACATTTACAAGAAATGTGTCTTGCATTTGGTCTTCAAATTTGGTGTTGAAAAACACTGACGCATCAACAGTAATAGAGGCACAGCCCGTGGCATTCATCTGGTAGGAGAACAAAGACACAATTAAGTCAAGCACAGGCAAAAATATAAAAAAAAATAAAGAACTGACCAACCACAAGACAATAAAATAAAGCATCACTCACTTGGCACAAGACTCAACTTTCAGTCCCATAACTGCAACGCTGTAGGTCTGCGGTGCGTATACGGTCACGTCAAACTTGGGCAAAACTAAACCAAAAACAAAGTGCTTTAGATTAAGGCCTCAGATTTGTCATTGAATTGCCCTCACACAACTTACCGAATTTTTTCACCTCAAAGACTTGGGAGACTAGTGTTGGGACTCTTCACTCCATGGCTACTCCATTCTACGACGCCGCGGCCTAGTCGCGGTCACCTAGGTCTTTGTGTCTCACTGCCTCATTGCTTCTCTGGCTACGTGGTGTGCTCCACCTCCATCACCTCCGGTAATCCCCTTGGTAATGTTGGGACTCTTCACTCCATGGCTACTCCATACTGTGCCGCCGCCGTGGGATGCAGTCCTGACTGTGGGCTGGGTCTTCATCTGCCCTTCCCTGCTCAAGGCCATCTCCCTGGCTGTCACCACCACCTGCACCAACCTTTCCTCCAGCTACGGACGGCTCGGACAGACGGACAACACGGACGGACGGACGACACGGACGGACGGACGACACGGACGGACGGACGACACGGACGGACGGACGACACGGACGGACGGACGACACGGACGACACGGACGGACGACACGGACGGACGGACGACACGGACGACACGGACGACACGGACGGACGACACGGACGGACGACACGGACGGACGGACGACACGGACGGACGGACGGACGACACGGACGGACGGACGACACGGACGGACGACACGGACGGACGGACGACACGGATGACACGGACGGACGGACGAACGACACGGACGGACGACACGGACGGACGGACGGACGACACGGACGGACGGACGACACGGACGACACGGACGGACGGACGACACGGACGACACGGACGGACGGACGACACGGACGGACGGACGACACGGACGGACGGACGGACGACACGGACGGACGGACGACACGGACGGACGGACGACACGGACGGACGGACGACACGACGGACGGACGACACGGACGGACGACACGGACGGACGGACGACACGGACGGACGGGAAAAAAGCCTAAGAGAACCATGAAAAAAGGTTGGTGCAGGTGGTGGTGACAGCCAGGGAGATGGCCTTGAGCAGGGAAAAGCCGACGGAGACCCAGCCCACAGTCAGGACTGCATCCCACAGCGGCGGCACAGAATGGAGTAGCCATGGAGTGAAGAGTCCCAACACTACCAAGGGGATTACCAGAGGTGATGGAGGTGGAGCACACCACGTAGCCAGAGAAGCAATGAGGCAGTGAGACACAAAGACCTAGGCAACCGCAACCGCCCCTTGAACTTCAACCTTCAGCTTCTGCACCAAATCTCCATCTACCCGAGGAGCCTGTAGAGAAGTTCAGTTAACGTACAAGAAACCAAGCTTATTTTCACAATCTATAAAGATTAGTACACAACTCCAACATAAAAACAGAATGCTTCTGTTCACGTCAAAGCCTAATGATACTTACCTGGTTTTTTAAGTCCATCAACAGCAAAGAGAAAAAGAGTGAAAATGAGCTTCTTCCAAACACAAATCTCTCTCTCACAGCCATGAGGACAAATCACCCAAGACTAACCCTTATCAAGCCGCTCTTCAGACTCTAATATATCAGGAACGCATTCATCTCGTTAATTCAATTAATTAACCACCACCTGGCAGTAATTAATGTTATCATTTGATTAGCAGTTCCAACTGGCATTGATTTAAAACACGACACATTACGGAGGTTAGCGGACGAATTTTCTAGTTGCCATATCAACAGTATAGAATTTAAAAAATATATAGCCTATGTATTTAAGATTACTGAACATTTATTTAACCATAGCAAAAGTAAGTTTCCTGTGTTAATTTTAAACAAGTCTAATATTATTTTATCTTATATCTGTTAATTAACAGTTGAGACAGTTCTTGAACGCTGGTGTGACAGCAGAAGACAGACCAGCCGGGTTTAAATGCTATATTTAAGAGAACTTTGTCCCAGTTGTGCAGGCGGGGCATGTTGTCACTCTGCGTTGCAATGAGCAAATGATTAGAATTATTGCTTTTCTACTCTATACTTGTATGAACTCTATTGAGAAACCATGAGAAAAGGGTGAATAAATTCTGAGATTCAATGTTCAGAAATTATTAATAGAGTGTATGCGCGTGACGTCACCGTTGGCCGGAGTGCCTGCAGTTCCTCACAGTGAGTCTCATTCATAAATATGTAAATATGAGAGTGTAAATATGAGTGATTTGCGCGTAGAGAGACCTTCCCGAAAACTCTTCTCATGATTCACAAATACATCGTAAACGTCAGATGTCATAGTGAAATGTGTGTGTTAATGAATTCCAACCTGTCGTAAATGGGATGCGCGTGCACGTTCATTCTCAATTACCAAAAATCAAGTCCATCATCTACGACTGACATCTATATATAGGCAGATAATAACATGAATGCGAATTTGATTTGATTAACTTCATTGTCTGTTCAGATGTGGACAGAAATTCATGACACTGGCACAACAACCACAAAAACAGAAATAAATAATTAATACATACTGCTATGTGGATAGCAAATGAACCCAATTGCAGACAGTATGCAAACACGAAACGTTTATTGGTAACAGAAAACTGGGAAAACAAAACCCACGAGGGGGCAAACAACACTGGTAGGGAAAATAATACTAAACTAAGACTTTGACATTAAACTATACAGGAACAAGAGAGGATTTTACAAGATCACAACTTCGTTAAGACAAGGTATAGACATGGCACGTGTACAGGACAGCAAACATAAGGGGATCAAATAGGGAGAAAGACACTGACAGCAGGTGACATAGATGAAGCAATGATGACGGTAACAAGGGGGTGGGGCCAGAGAACGAGACACCGCAAACACACACAGCCCATCTGTCATGATACTGCCTCAAGAGTAGGACAAGAGAGCACAATCATGACACATAAATAAGTTAAATTAATACAGTATGTGCAAATTTGCACATCTATAAAAATCACCTCAATTGAGAATTGAGTTTAAAACAGTCACCGCCAATGGAAATGATCTCTTATTTAAATATTCCTCACGTAGCCTGCGTCCCCGAAGGAAGGATCTCGAAGTAGGAATGGAGGGGATGAGTCTGGTCTGAATATATTGATAATGCCCTTTTCTCCCCCCCCCCCCCAAAAAAAAAATAAAAAATAAAATGTGAATAGCTCTTGTAGTAATGTGCTCTGTTTTTGGCCGATGATCTTATTTGCTTCATTGATTACTCGTGTTAGTTCATTCTTCTGTTTCACTGTAATACCAAGTTAAAACACTTTCAATCATTGATCTATAAACAATGGTTAAGATCCTCCTTTCAATGGCAAACATTTCTTAAGTAGACTTTTAAACGCTGTCTAGTTTTCTTATGTAGCCCATAAAATCCACATTGTCTTGGAGGGAAAGTTTATCATCAATGATTGTACCAAGATATTTTGCTCTACGCCTTTTAACATTATTCCAATATATTCCTATTTAACACAGATGTCATTTGCTAATTACATAAACTATAAGCTCAATTCATAAGTATAAATATATATTTAGAACATGTATATTTGTATGGTCCTCGAATGTGTTTGAATATTTCACCATTATCAGCCTTTTCACCGCTTGTATCACTCCGCCTGTCTGTGTTTGCCCAACTTGCATTATTAAGCCAGTAGGTGGCGACAAGTGACTGTCTTTGTGAGTCCACAATTGAACTTTAACTTAACAGATTAGTGCCAAAAATATTGATTAGCTAACCTTAGAAAGAAACTAGTTGCTGAAACCAATCTTTAATGCTAATATATAAATTGCTCCTTTTCCTCTGGACACAAAAAGATTGCACTGGTGTTTGATTGAAATAACATCCATGTGAAATAATCCTTGAAAGATTTCTCATTAAGGCCATTCCTATTTGAAATATGTGATTGTGGATTGTCAACATTAAGCAGAAACATTCTGCATTTGAAATCCAAATCATGTGTGTGACTGTGTGGTAATGTGGGCTGGTGTGGTTATAGTGCCAGGGATGTTTTTTTCTTATAGGCCTGCAATATACATTTTTCTCTGTATCGAATCATGTTATCTTATTACCCACCCCAGCCCCTGATGTTTTTAAAACCTAGAAACGCCCCTGGCTTCAAGCTTTAAAGGGATACTCCACTTTTTTTTTGGAAATAGGCTCATTTTACAACTCCCCCAGAGTCAAACAGTCGAGTTTTAACGTTTTCGAATCCATTCAGCCGATTTCCTTGAAATTTGGAAGAATATCAGTAACCAGACAGTTTCTGGTCTCATTGACTTCCATAGTATATTTTTTTCCTACTTTGGAAGTCAATGAGACCAGAAACTGCTAATATTCTTCTAAATATCAAAAAATCGGCTGAATGGATTCGAAAACGGTAAAACTCGACTATTTAACTCTGGGGGAGTTATAAAATGAGCCTATTTCCAAAAAAGTGGAGTATCCCTTTAAAGACACAATATGACTCTCGCGATGAATGAACATAAAAAAGATGGCCGCCAACGAGTTTTGATTCTGACGCGCTTGTTTTTACACGCGTCAATTTCGCTCTTGATGCGCGAATGGATTAAGGCTAGAGATCCACTTGTCCGACACGTCAGTCGCGTGCTGTCGCGACGCCTCCCCACATTTGTACTTTGATGGGCGTTCCTTAAGTTTACCGCTATGGCCGTGGTTTTGAGCCAGCGGCCAGTCTAGAACGGAGGACCTGCGAGAGACTTCCCCCCCCGTCTCCATATGCTCTACTTCTATTGGATAGTCGCGGCGCGTTCAACGGAATTCATTTGCATAAAGATGGGCTTTTACGCGCAGCATTTTTCTAAACGAAGTGCCGCCTTCCCAGAATGCTTTACGGGTGCGTCAAAGTCGCGTGACATCACCCATAGGAATAAAGCGGAGCGCGACAGAAGTGCCGCACGGACAAATGGATCCGCACCGTAAGTCTTTAAGCGTATAACTAGATGCGGTAGGTGCGAATTTGACGCGCTATTCGCATCTGGTGTGAACGCACAGTAGGCAGAACTGAGAAAAAATGCTTTTACTATTAGTGGAAATCCTAACCATTACCAAGAGGATATCACAGACCAAACGCTGTTTATTGTTCTCACCTGTTTTTTGTTGTGTTTACAGGGTCATTTATACGCTTCTGTGTTTAAAAACGAGCATTATCCTTCTCTGCAAACCCTAAATGGCCACGATGGACATCCCCGCGAAGGAGCGTAAGCCGAAGAAGCCTCACTACATCCCACGTCCCGCCGGGAAACCCTTCCGGTACCAGTGTTTCCAGTGTCCCTTCACCTGCAACCAGAAATCCCACCTGTTCAACCACATGAAGTACAACCTGTGTGACGTATCCATGTCCGTGAGCTCCCGACCCGGCAGACGAGAGGAAAACAACCCCTCCACACACACGGATGAAGACGAGGAGGACCCGGAGATCCCAGAGGAGATCCCAGTGGATCAAACGGCGTCCTCATCCAAGGAAACTCCCTGGACCGTGTTCAAACCGGAAGCGATTCGTCCTCTCACTCCCGCGTCCGTCTGGAGGCCTCCGGTGCCGTTCACTCCCGGTGCTCCGAACCTCCTAAACAAGCCACTCGTTCAGGAGCGAGCCGAAGATTTCCCGTATCATCCGGGGTTTCATTTCCCGTTCCCCTTCTATGCTCCTTACAACCCGTACAGCTACGAGCCGGTCGCTCATCCGTACGTCACTCGCGGACTCTTCCCACAGATGCTGTTCCCCGTGGAGTGTTTCAGGAACTGCTGCACGATCCCGACTCCCGGCGCGTACTCGTTCGGGATCCCGTATGATCCGTACGCGCTCGTGGTGAATCTGGCGGGGAAGGAGGTTCAGGCGAGTCCGGAGACGGGGCGATCCGCTGCTGGATCACCGGACAGACCCGACGGGTTTGATCATTCCCAGACATTCCCACTACATGATGAGGCTGCAGCCAGCCAATCAGAGGAGAGGGGCGTGGCCACACAGAGTCTTCCTGAGAGGTTAGACTGAGCAAAAATAACAATATATTCCCGAGGACAGATCTGCAACAAATTAATTACTGATTCAATTCAATAATTTAGAACTCTACAAATTATGTCTAATTTAATAAAATAAAAAAAATACATAATCCCATGTTTAAATATATTGACTTGTGTCCTGTTTCTTGCATTCAGAGAGAAGGAAAGAGCGGGAAACGACACATTTGATGATGCTTTGGTTCCTCTCAACCTCTCCAGGAGAGACAGTCCTCTGAACCTGTCAATGAAGATGTCTCTCGGCCAATCACAGAGCTGCTTGCTGAAGCAGGGGGTTATGGGTGCTGTGACATCACAGGAAGAGGATCATGCGTCTGTAGAGAAGACCGCAGCGTTCGCACTCTGTCAGCTTTCTCAGTCCGTGCCTTCAAACTCACACGTCTCAAACCCTCACACTTCAGTCCGAGGTCACGTGGACCAAAGCGCTTCCACTACTTCAGATATTAGATCAGATACAAATGCAGGAAGCCCCGCCCCCTCGGCTGAAGACCCCGCCCATTCGGTTAAAGACCCCGCCCATTCATTTGAAGACCCCACCCATTCTACAGAAGACCCCGTCCCCTCAGTGGATGATCCCACCCATTCTGTTGAAGACTCCGCCCATTCTGCTGAAGACTCCGCCCATTCTGTTGAAGACTCCGCCCATTCTGCTGAAGACTCCGCCTCCTTGTCTGTTGCGTTTCAAACACGGACAGAAAGACAAGGAAAACGCAACACGAAGAGAAAACAGACGAGTCTCAGCAAACACAATCTGAGGAAGAGAATTAGCCGTTAATGTCTGAAAATCACGGCAGATCAACATCAATAAAGCCTGTAAATAAGAATATTTTATATAAGCAACAGTTCACATGAACTATAGGGAGTAAAACATCATGTGAAGCACTGAATTATATTTATATAAAACACTGTTTGCTTTTTTTTTGTCATGAGGTTTCATGCTCACATCTATGAACTATATATCTGAATACAAAAGCAAGAGTTTACGCCGGTCACACACACACACACACACACACACACGAGTGAAGCAGGTGCACCTGAAACCTGCCAAACCTCTAGGTAAAAGTGCAGTTATATTGTAAAAAGCTGCAGGTTCAGACATGTGAGATCAGCGAGACCATTAAACCCTCTCTCTCTCTCTCACACACACATTGTCTCTCTCTCTCTCTCTCACACACACACATATTGTCTCTCTCTCTCTATAAAATAATTATATCAAGCATAATTCTAACTGCATGCAATTCTACAAAAATGTTTAATGGACAAATACTGGTAATTCTCTCATCTCGCGTTGATCGTTATAATGAACACATCACATCCTGAACAAACGCTTCGGAAATGCTCTACATTGGAAATGAATGACTTCTGAATGATGGAAAATCATCTTTTAGATCTCCGAATATCCTCTCCAGTTAGTTGTACATCACAGAAATGATTAATACTGATGGAACAGACCCGGCTGATTGAGAAAGAGCGACCTCTGCTGGACAGGAGACGGCTGAGGGACAGAACATGTGGCGTTAAAAGTGAATAACATTCATTTATTAGTGTCTTTAATACACACCATTAGGATAAACCTGGTTCTCCTGTACTGGGACACACACTCTTTATCAGTGATCAACAGTAAAGCTGGTATCACGGAAATAACAGCATCGGATCATTCAGCGTCGTATCGATTATTAAACTTTTAATTGGCTATGAGGGTTCCTGTGAGATCCAAACAGGAAGTGAGGCGCCAGCCCCAGTGCATTGTGGGACTGTCTGTGAGGCAGGAGCTCGGTTACAATCAGCCCACTGATTCGAGGCAACAGAAAGGTTCCTGAAATGTCTCGTCGGTTCATTAGCAGCATGCTGTTCCTGTGCAGCAAGAGTAAAGCGTTGAGCCAGCGTCATAAAGTCAACATGAAACCACACTCACAACCCATAGTGTGACATCATCAGGGACCAATCAGGAGTTGTGAAAAGTGAGCGTTGCATACCAGAATGGCTATTATTGCTGTCGTTTGCATTATGTTAGCCAGCATTAGTTCCTAAATCAACTGTTTGCAGATCACCACCTACATCAGTAGGGTTGGGTATCGAGAATCGAGTATCGATTGGAACCGGGACTAACTTTTCGTTTTCCCGGAATCGTTCAAAAGTTAAAATTTCGATTCCTAGTTTCGATCTTCACAAAAAAAAAAAAAAAAAAAAAGTTTCGATATTTACAGTCCGCCGCGCGGAAGAAGAAACCGCTGAACAACACCAACGAAGAAGCGTCTACCAGAAGTGTTGGCATAACCACGCGAGTCGAACATGAGTACCTTACGTCGGCGATCCAAAGTGTGGCTTCACTTTTCTAAAAATAACGAAATCTCGGCAAAATGCAAAATTTGTGACAAAAGGAGTATTTTTACAGAAGGATTATTTCCTTCAGAAAGGCCGTTGGTTAGCAAGGTTAGCTAAACTTTTTTGACCCTGCCTCTTAAAAGAATCGGAATCGAGAATCGTTAGGAACCGGAATCGAAACAAGGAATCGGAATCGGAATCAGAATCGTTCAAATTCAAATGATACCCAACCCTATACATCAGTGGCTTTATAAAGCCTAGGAAACTATTTGGGTATTGGTTTAGATTACTTTTCCCACACACATGACCTAGATCAGGGGTTTTCCAATCGCAACAGGGGAAACGGTGGAAAAACTGTCAAATAAATAAATAAATAAATTCGGAGTAAAACGTACATAAATTAAATACATAAATAAGATTAAATTCAAAATTAATATTAAAATAAATTGGGTCTTTACGAAGGCTGCATAATCTATCGGAAAAATATTATAACTGTGAAATCACGCAAGTTGCGATTTAATTAATACATGTAATACATGTTATAATATATAAACATAGATTATGATACAGTTTTTAGACGTCTCAGAACGTCATTTACTGTGAATAAAGTGGTTTTATGAGCCGCAAGCGTGTAAATGAATACACCATATAATATATATGCAATGAATATACAGCGGCTTTCACTATATATCGCAGAAAAGCAAAACATCACAAGACCATTTTTTTTCTAAAACAGTGCAGCCCAAGTATTCACATGCAAATATATTAATTATAATAAATAAATAAATAAATAATAATAAGTAAAAAAAAAAAAAACATAATATTTGCCAAATAATATTTTACACAAAAAATTATAGTATTACCTTTTATTTAATAATTTAATATTTAATTAAATTTCAATGGGTCAAATATACGTTTCTGCCTTGTAGATTTTAGGATGAGTGTCAAAAATTGAAAACTCCTGACCTAGATGATGCCAGACGAAATATTGTGATTATAACCAAAGGTTTTCGAAATATAACATGCACTGACGACACGATAAGATCAGGACGGTGTATAAGCAAAGTAAACGGTGTCTGACTTGAGTTCATGTTGACCTTAAGCTCGATATAAATGTGATAATCCAGTCTTTGCTCTGACGCTCATTAAACGTGTGTCGTATCTATTGGAAGGATAGTGTCACTGTAAAAGTTCACACTGAGCCTGAATCTCCTGGATCCGGCGTGGGGTCGTGACCTCAGAGGAAGGGGTTGTGGCTCTGCGGAGGTGTGTGTCGGCTGGAGGGTGTGAGTGGCAGCAGGGGCAGCGGCAGGTTGCTGGGCAGATCCAGCAGGCCGTGGGGCGGCTGTGTGTGTGACGAGGGCAGAGTCTGGGGCTTCTGCTGCAGGAGGGGTTGAGGAAGAGACGCGCTGTAGGGCAGAGCGGGAGAGTGAGGACGCATCTGATTCAGGGTCAGTCTCGGCGGGTCACAGTGGAAAGGGTTTGTGGGAGACGGCGAGCTCAGACCTGAGACACACAATCAGCAAGGATTAGTTCACAGTTTACGGATTATTTACTCACGTCAACCTTTGATATTAAAGGACAACTCCGGCGCAAAATGAACCTTTAGTCTAATTACACATTGTTACCTAGTCAACCGTTATCTTAGATTTGTTTTCATGATTGACGAATGTAAATAGTTTTATCTATAAAAACAGTTTAGCCTATAACGCTAGTATAACGCTAGTATAACACATAGAGTAATGACAAATAAAAATCGCTTGTTATTACCACTAACAAGGCTCAAAATAGCCCCACACCAACACGACAGCATAATAAGGGTCCATACATTCAAACCGAAGCATTGAGAACTTTGTCAGTGTCCAAACAGTTTAATAAGAAGATATTTTATACATACAGTCAATTTCACGAATACAGGAAGAAGCCATCTTTGAAAAATAGACTCTACCAGTCGATCTACGAACGCCGATCCAAGTGCGCTGGTGAGATGTGAATAAGGTGATAAGGTGAGCGCGAACAGTAGTCTACATGTACATATTGAAGAGAAGAAAACGGTTCGTGTTTCATCCGAAAACAACGGACCATATGAGATTCTGCACAGTTCAGCGCACTTGGATCGGCGTTCGTAGATCGACTGGTCGAGACTATTTTTCAAAGATGGCTTCTTCCTGTATTCGCGAAGTTGACTGTGTGTATAAAATATCTTCTTATTAAACTGTTTGGACACTGACAAAGTTCTCAATGCTTCGGTTTGAATGTAGGGACCCTTATTATGCTACCGTGTTACTGTGGGGCTATTTTGAGCCTTGTTAGTGGTAATAACAAGCGATTTTTATTTGTCATTACTCTATGCGTTATACTAGCGCTATATGCTAAACTGTTTTTAGAGATAAAACTATTTACATTCGGCAATCATGAAAACAAATCTCAGATAACGGTTGACTAGGTAACAATGTGTAATTAGACCAAAGGTTCATTTTGCGCCGGAGTTGTCCTTTAAGGTTTTTGAGGAAAACGTTCCAGGATTTTACTCCATACAGTGACTTCAATGGGGTCCAAATGTGAGTTTCAGTGCAGCTTCAAAGTCTCGAAACGATCCCGCCGAGGAATAAGAGTCTTATCTAGACAAATCAGCTGACATTTATAACAAAATTAACGACCACAAACGCCACACATTACGTAATCAGGTTGAAAGGTCAAGCGTGACGTAGGCGTAAGTTCAGACCCGATGTTTACAAAGCGAACGCGCAAAGACTAAGAAAAACTCCCATTTCCAAAAAATAAAACAACGGTTGGACGATTTTGAAGTTGTAGGAGAAAATGAGATGGAGTTTTTCGTTATCCTACATTTTTGAACCGGAACACGTGTGACCTTTCAACGTGATTACGTAATGCGAGAGCTGCTGCAAGATGGGCATTTGTGGTTAAAAAGTTTATAAATGTTTATAAAATGTCCACTGGGTTGTCTAGATCAGACTCTTATTCCTCGGCTGGGATCGTTTCGAGACTTTGAAGCTGCACTGAAACTCACATTTGGACCCGTTGGACCCCATTGAAGTCCATTATATGGAGAAACCCTGGAGTGTTTTCCTCAAAACATCTTGGATGACATGGAGGAGAGCAGATTATCAGGAAAATTTAATTCTGAAGTGAACTCTATTGTGATACATTTACAATGAGGGGTTCCCACCTGACAGAAAGGGGTTTTTGCTCTTGGCCGGTGGATTGGCTGGGATCAGTGTGTCCAGGTTGACGAGGGAGGCGGCGGTGGGTCCGAGGAAAGCCTCAGGGGTCCGGCACTGTCTCTGGGTCACCGCGTCGAGGGGAGGCCCGAGACGGGAGAGGTCAAAGGTCTCCGGACTGTCACTTCCCCATCCGTTCACTTGAACGCCCGACACCAACTCGCCGAACTGATCGGCATCTGGAACGAGAGATGCGAATGAGCTTCAACTCAACTCAGAGAGGGAAACGAGTGTGACGAGGGTCTGATGAGGACCTGCGGGACTCTCACAGCGAGGGCTGAACACTTGGATAGGCCCCACCCCTTCCACAATAGGCCCCTCCCCCTCCTCTGTAAGCTCCTCCT